GGAGCTCTGGATCCAGTTTCCGGAGATTGGGGGGCACTGTTGTAATGAGAATCTTCACTGTGGCATCAGAAGAACTGATTTCAAAGCCAGTTTCATTGGTCAGCATGGTCAAAACTGAAAGAAAAAAACAACTATGTGCATTCAAAAGCTGCTATCCTGCTTCCCTACAGAAGGGGTAGCAGTCATAAATAAACTTTTGGCAGCTCCGTCGTCAGAACCCCAATAGGGTGACCCTTCCTCCCTGCCATCTCCCCTCGCCTACAGAAATGTCATAATGCCCAGGCGCAGTGGACGTAGGCTCCACACCGTCTCCTTGGGTCACGGGGTCACTCCTGAGTCTCCATGCTCTCCTCCTCCTCTCCTGGAGGTGGTTCTTCTGTGCTCTCCTCCTCTTCTTCCCCCTCCTTTTTCTCTGGCGGCTTCTCATAAGCTTTCTCCGAGGGTGTCACGATCACTCCGTCCCAGGTAGATATCTCAGAAGCAAGATCTAGAAAAGTGATTTCAGACAAGTAGCCCAGTATCCCAGTCATGGTGTACACAAAATAGGAAGAAATCTGTTCATGTGTAAGAGTACTCACAGCTTACATCGCCCTCCTGGCCCAGGATCTTCCTGAAGCCTCCATGTGAGAGGATTCGGACCAGAGTCTGCGCTGTGTAGCAGACCATATCCTGGAAGGAGCAAAAGCAGGGGTAAATTCACAGGTAGACTCAAAGAGATGAAAACAACTCTGACTCCTAACATCTCCGAGAATTACGGAATAGCTCTCCCAGTACCTGCTGCTCCAGGGTCATGACGGTGTGTACTCTGAAGTTGCCACTCTCACAGGGGTCAGTGATACCCACCGAGCCTGGCAGGAACAACCCTGCAGCCAGAATCTGTAAGCAACGCCTAAGAGGTGATGGGGGAGTATTAATAAAGGCCAAAACAACTGGCAAGCAGCGCAAACCCAGAGCTGCCCGTACCTGTATGCCACATTGAGGGCCAAGGGCTGTCTGGTAGGGTTATTCATCACAGCATAGTGCCCCTGCAAAGCAGTACATACAGCTTTGTGAACAAAGAGGCAAGTCTACCCTTATCTATTTTTATCATTTTATTGGGGGCTCATACAACTCTTATCACAATCCATACATCAGTTGTGTAAAGCACATTTGTACATTCATTGCCCTCATCATTCTCAAAACATTT